TGTCGCGCCCGCCCGAGCCGGGCCGGGCCAGGCGGCCGAGGTGGCGGGTGGGGAGCGCCCCGGCCGCGCCTCGCACCGCCGCACGGCCCCTTGCAGGGCACGGGTCCCTTGCAGRGCACGGGCCCCTTGCAGAGCACGGGCCGTCGCGCCGGGAGCTGCAGGAGCTGGAGCTGCTCACCAGGGCCTTGGAGAGGGCGCTGACAGTCAGGAGCGGCGTCCCCAAAACTGCCCTGCAAGCCCCGGGAGACGGAGCAGGGAAAGCGGCCGGTGCGGGACCTGCTCCCCGAAGTGCTGCGGGGCGGCAAGCGCCCATCCCGGGTGAGAGCGCGCCTGTGGCCACGCAGGGCAGAGCTGTAAGCAGAGAGCTTTCCTCTTCCAAGAAGCACCTGCTAAGAGCCCCTTATAGGACTGATCCAGAGGTGAATAAAACACACAGGAAAGCCCCATCCCGACGTCTCTCTCGAGCTCCTAGCGCAGCCGGGAAGACCCCTTCAAAAGCTGTGGTGGCTTCCAAACAAGCAAGGAGGCATAGGGTAGCGGTCAGCGCCAGGAACGGAGAAGCCTGTGCTGCAGCTGAATCCCCCAAACCAGCCGGCTTGTCCACACGTGGCCTCCTCGAGCAGCAGAGTGCCTCTGCAGGGGATTCAGTGGGGCAGGAGGACGCGGTGGCTGCTGGTTTGGGTTCCCTGGGACAGTCCGGCAGAGAGGAGGAGGAGGATACAGCKGAAGATGCGTCAGGATGGAACAGGCCACCTCAGACAGACGCCCTCCAGGAGAAGGGGTGAGTCCTGAGCTTCACTGTAGACCTGTGCATCTGCAAGGGGTGACCTCTCTCCTGCTGCTCTGCAGAGGGTGGTTTGGTTTCAGTGCTCCTCAGACCTTCCCAGGTGTAGGATCCTTTACTGAGTATTTCCATCATAAGGGCTCGCTGTTAGATGGTAGGACTTGCAAAGTCTTTTGTTTCGGACTTTGGATATGTCATAATCTGCTGTGACTGTTCTAGGAATATATTAAAGCTCAGTACTGACTGAAAAGCGATTACGCTTGGAACAGTGTAATTAGAAAGTTCATGTTACTGGGATGCTTTGTAGAAAAATACYWAAATAATACTTAGAAGCCTGGTTTTGCCTTCAGAGCAGTCTGCATTGTTCAAACAATTTCTGTATTCGTTTCTAAATATTCTTCACTTTAAAGAAACAATGAAGTTCAGACCTGAGATACATCTGTGCCTAGAGAAGTGGTTCTGGAGCTGCCATAAGCAACTCTTGTACTGGTGAAGAGGGAAGTTAACTCTGTGTACGTGCCCTTGGAGCAGGCCCAGGGCGCCAAGTGACAGTTGCTTGGGAGACAAGAATCTGCATTCAAATGTTTACTTACCTCAAGCCCTGACTGTTGCCCTGCCTTCGTAGTTTGCGTGTAACTCTAGTTAGATAGTGCAGCCCACATGTCCTTGCCGTGCAAGTTAGGGTTGATTCTGCGCTGGGTTAAGATGTCCCTTTCCTAGGTGTTGCAGCCCTGTACTTGGCTTTTTCTGGGTTTTGTTCCAGCTAATGCTTCCGTGCCTTTGGATGAACCTCTGGCTGCTGGTGGCAGATGTAAATGCTCTTCCAAGAGAACTCAGTGACATTTGTGAAATGAATGACCAGGGTACGAGAGTAGTTCCCCTTCATCATGCACATGATGAAGACAGTGGAGGGTTCGATCTCCAGGGTTGTTGAAGTCTTCCATAACAACTAAATCAATGCAAAACTGAAACAAAATGTCATTTTCTCTACTTGAAGGTGAGGCTTCGCCAACCTCTGGCAGTCAGCATTGATGAGTCTCCTGTTTTGCAGATCCCGGCTGAAGCTTCCCCTTCCCTACAGGAAAGCCTATTCCAGGAACTCCAGGTAAGCGCAGCTTAGCCAGTCCTCTCCATAGCTACTCTCTGCCTAAGGAGGAGTTACCAGTGAGGAGGGAGTCTGCATGGATGGAAGATCTTGCCACAGCACAGTAGTTTTGTTGCTGGGGCTTCTCCAGATTCCTGAGTTTAAACGTTGAATTTAGTTGTAGCTCCTTGTGGCGTCCTCCAGAATTCCTCCTCCTCTAGAGAACTGCTACTTAAACACCAATTTATTAGTTGCCCTTTAGCAAGACATAAAGACTTGGTTCTCTTAATTTCCCCTTATACACTGAGCCCATCTATCGTGATTTAAGGGATGCATCGTAATGGAGAAAAGACACATGGGCACCTAGGTTAGACAGTCGTGGACCGTGTAACGATTTTAAACTTCTTCCTGATGTCTCTTATTTGCCATGGAAGGTTTGGGGAGAATGGCTGAAAGGCACTGGTGCTTTAAAGAAGTTTTTTTAAGAAATGGATGACATGAGGACAGGGCAGCAGTGCTGATGCAGACCTTCGTAAATGAAATGCACTTCTTGTATCTCACCCTTATTTACGTGGTATCTAATTTAAAAATGGACTCTTATCTGAGATTCTGGCCAGCTTAGTCTTAATGCTGTCCTTAAACCCCTGTGTTGTATAAAGCCTCTGTTACTGATACATTGCTATTGTACTGCTCGCCAAACATATCACAGTGCCCTAATACAGGGATTAAAGATGAGTCTCGAGGAGGTATGAAGGAATGGCTGAAAGCTGGGATAAGAATTTGTCCTGTATCTTCTCTACCATGGTAGCTCCTTTATATGTACGTTTACTAACATAGTAGATACACAGAAATGTAAACTGCTTCCCTGAAAACTTTGTTATCGAAAAGCATAATAGAGGTTGTTTCCCACAGAGCCACTGCGTGCTGGAAGGTCACACTTTGGTTCGTTTGTAGAACATCCTTGTCTCTTGCGATGGCTTTGAATCCTTCCCCTCCAAACAACTGGAGAGAAGAAGCATAGGTGTTTTGCAGTAGCTGATGCTTTCTGCAGGATGTCCTTGTTGATTTAATACTGGTTGCTGAAACCAGGGGGGAATAGCTGATAAACAACTTTTTTTTTCCTAGTATAAGAAAGGGGTGAGGAAGATGATTGTATTTGAAGCTTTGGATGTCACATCAGTGTATGCCAGCTCATTTTGAGCACTATCTGCCACCAAAAGCTAATTCCTCTGCTCCCTGCTCCTCTTGAATTTTAAGGGCATGGGAGAGATATCGTCTCTGTCAGACCAGATCAGATGCAGGAGCTGCAAGGAASCGTTTTATAGAGCGAATCCAGACAACCGTATCCTTTCTCAGCTCGCCGTGCCCTCGAAGAGCACGCCACACAACGCTTACTGCAGTAATCTTGCTATGTTATTCCATGTTGGTGCTGTGAAATCTTCCTTAAGCTTCTGCTGTTTGAGTTTTGTTCACCGCTGCCAGCCTTCAGTCCTGCAGAGATAGAGGAGGAGATAAAGGTCCTGCAGGACATCCCCTCCCTTCTGAGCCCATTGGTGGAAGCTGAGCAGGCAGGTAAAGAGAAATAAAAATAAAGGTAGGGAGAAATAAGATGATTCCAGGAGGTTCAACTACATATTTGTCTTGTGTTCCTGGTACGTGTGGGACACAAGGGATAGCAGGAACCTTCTCTGCCCCAAATAAGGGCTGGTTAAGCCAAGTTTGCCCTAGAAGCTGATGTTTTGGGGGAGAATATCAGTATTCTCAGCATTCAGTATTCCAGTAGTCTGCTAGCTTTTCTCTATGCTTCTCTCCTAGAGCATCCAACTCTGCAGCAAGAGTATGAGAGCCTCCTAACCCTGGAAGCTTTGCAAACCATAACATCCCAGTGCCTACAGAAGCTGCAGTGTCTGCGAGAAGGTGAGGTCAGTCCCTGTTTTCTTAGTCACATCTGAGCGTGGTGAGATGTGAGGCCGTGGTGTCTGTTGGCCTGCCTGTGTTCAGGAGGGGCTTTCAGCAGGACACAMGGGTCCAACGGCTGCGTTCAGAGGTTGAGATCAGTCACACCAAGCCCTTTGGGAGGCCAGGAACGAGCAGTGGACCCCRGGGGTGGGGGTTGCCTAAAGAAAACAAGGTTTGGGGAGGGATGCCATCAGCATCTATAAATACCTGAGGGGAGAGTGTAAAGAAGACAGGGCCAGACTCTTTTCAGTGATGCCCAGTGACAGGATGGGGAGCAATGGGCACAAGCTGAAATGCAGGAATTTCTCTCTGAGTGTAAGAAAACACCTGTTTTACTGTGAGAGTGGCCGAGCTCTCACACATGTTGCCCAGATAGGCTGTGAAAACTTGATCCTTGAAGGTATTCAAAGACCTTCCGGGCTTGAACTAGGTGATCTGCAAAGGTCCGTTTCAACCTCAACTGTTTTGAGAGCTGGGCGATGTGCATGCTATGGTTTAATATGTCCTGGTTGAGCTATGTGGCAGGGCTTGCTCCAACTAATATAATGCTGATGATCATTCATTTGTAGGGACAGTAGGTAGATCCCAGATTCTGGAAGTGCAGGTCTAACTCACGTACTGCTGCCTTCTCCCAATTCTTCCACCCTGGCAGCTACGGAGTCCCAGATGAGGCTGTGTCCCGACTGCGCTGCTGGGGATGCAGGAAGCTGCTCTCCAGCTTATGTTCCTCCCAAGGACCTGACGTGTGGCCAGACMAGTGTGTTAGCTGCACCTCTCCTCTGTTACTCCAGTTTCCAGGAGCTGAGGGACCTGTTTGCGCTGAAGTTGCAAGTGGCAAGGCTGAACCAGGAGATTGCCATGCAAAAGGTGAGCTAAAGGCATTAGAGCTGCTGAGCAGAGGTGGAGATGGGTGGCTGTGGTGCAGCAGCTGGCAGCTTGATGGGGAAGCCACAGTCTACCAGACTCTCCCAATGGKGATTTGTGTTTATGTCTCATGTCCAAAACCTATCAGTGCCTCACTTAGTGGAAAATGGACTGACTTAATGCCAGAGCAGATGGCTTTGAATGTCTGACCTGCTCCTGCATAGTCTGAGTTCACTTCCAAGTGAATTAAAGCGTGCTTCTAATCTTTGTTTTCTGACTGATTGAGGCTAGGAAAATCCCATCGTATTTTGGCTGCTCTTGTGGAGTTTGGCAGTGGCAGAGGTTATTGCTGCTGCCTAGAGATCCCTTTTAACAGCTTGTTTCAGTCCTACGAGGGCAGCCACTCTCTCCTCTTCTTCTGCTTGACCTCTTTGACTAGTCAGTCTCTCTGCTGTCTGTTCCTGTCTTTTTAATCTCCCGTTGACCATGTTGTGCTGCTAATCTTTACCTTTCCAAGAAGGACTGTAAGGACATGATAGGAGGTCAGTCTCTTCACTAGCCTGAGCAGGGTGTTTGCTGCACAGGGATCACTTGCTCTTCTCAAACTACAAACATTAAAGGGTAGAGATGATCTGTGAAATCACATCCACCCTCTGCCTGTGATCTACCCTCTGCCGTTGACCTAACTGATGGAAAAAGGCACTGGAATAACAATTTACAAACCCAGGAAGAATTACTGGTATCTGACTGCAGTCCTCCCTCTAGCAGAAGGTGTCCTGTTTGTAGACAAGCAATGGACTTTTAGCACTATACCCCCCAACTGGCCCTRTTCCTTCCACACGTGTCTGCAGACAGGTCCTTTGTACCTGGGCAAGCTCAGAATTCTTGAAGTTGCTCTGTGCAGACTCTGCAAGGTGGGTGAAATTCTTGGGAGGAGTAAAGTGAATGGCCTTGCTGTGGGATATATCTCCTGGCTTTGGAATAACTCGTAGACTTCTGAGCCAGGCTTGTCCATTGCCTCTCTGCAGAGGAATGCCAAGAACCTAAAATCCTGGTGATTCTTAGCCTCTCTCTCATGGTGAAGGTCAGTTTACCCCTATTCCTATGCATTGGGGCAGACTAGGTTGGTGAAGGGCTTTGCCTTAGGAAAAGGAGCTGTGTAGCACTGCGTGTGCCTATTTTCCCCTTAGGTAGCTCTTTAGGTCTTAAAGGTGTTTCCAAAGTGTGACATTTCTGAGGGTTAAATCAAGACTGGCGAACTAAAGACTTGTTCTCTTCTGCTCAGCGTGGGATCTCTTGTGCTCGAGGTCATGGTCCTAGAGCTTTGAGCTGTCACTTCTGCTGAGACAGGCCCGTGAGTCCTTGGAGAGCATGGACTGACATTGCAAAGCAGGCTGAGCAGGGCAGAGGACAGGGAATGGGGGCAGTTTGACCATCCCCAGTAAGCTGTGCTGCCAGGCAGGGCTGCAGCTTTATTCTGGAYAGGTTGGAGCTGACTGCTCACACATCTGAGAAGTCCTGGGTAAAGCTGTACCCTGTGTGCTTACAGAACTGCTCCAAGTGGCACCTTGGTGCATGTCTGCCATCATCCTGCCAGCACTGGGCCCTTCCTGCAGTAAGAGTGTTTTCAGAAAAGCCCTGCTATTCGTGCTCAGGAATACCTTGAGTGGCTGCTGGTGTATTTTAGAGAGCAAGCCGAACAATGCAGCTATTGTTGAGCATGACAAAAGAAAGCCATCGTCTGCCAATTAGCATCTTATTACTCATACTCTGTTGCTTAGATCTAACTTCTTTATGCAACCTCTTTACTTCATTAGAGCCTTTACAAACAGGGCTCTGGCTCTGCCCTGGTGACATGTCTCCTTTACTTCAGGTCCTGATGGCCGAGCTGCTGCCTGCTCTGGAGCCCAGACTTGACGCGGAGGCTTCGGCGCCCCAGCTGTATCGGGCCCTTTACACTGAGCTCTGTGAAGGCGGCAGGCGGTTCCCTGCGCTGGTGAGAGACGAGCTGGCAGAATGATCCTGCCCRGCCCTCCTGCCAGCCCTGCGCACGGCCAGAGGCAGCTCTAAGCAATAAACCTTTTCTGTTAACTTTTGGGGGTTTTTCTTTTTGTATCCTCTTGGAATTCGGCAGCCCTGAGGCTCGGTGAAGCCTCTCCAGGGTCTCCAAGGATTCTGTTGTTTGGTTTTCTCCTCATGCCTGTCTCTCCAGCCAGYTCTAGATCTTCCTCCTCTTCAGGCGTAGCAGGGAACTATAGTCAGACAGCACAGCTAGCCATAAAGTCTGATTTACACTGCTGRCAAGAGTGCCACGCTGCGGTAGGGTGCAACTTTTCCAGCAGCAGAAATCTTGGAGAACCTGAGCTGCTGCCTCCTTGCTGTTGTATTCCTTAGCTGGCACATAGTTACGCAGCATCACAGAAATGGTTGAGGTTGGGACTTCTAGAGATCATCTAGTCCAACCTCCTGCTCCAGCAGGGACGCCTGGAGCACGGTAGCACAGAGTTACATCCAGGTGGGTTATAATATGATGCTACAATTAGCATTGCAGGACTAAAATGTTGCCTTGAGGCCATGCCTAAGCCAGTGGTCTAGGCAGGGATGGGTTATCCACGCTCGGAGGTTTCCGCTCTCCAGCCGCAGCGGGAAGGAGCTGATAGAGCAGCCCAGCAGGTGGCACTCAGCCCCCTGCTCCAGTCYGAACCAGCGCCAGGCTGCGCCCCAGGAGCAGCTTTTCATGCTGACTAATGCAATATCCTGCCCACCACGGAAAAATAGGGATTCTGTAGCAATTCTGACCTTGCCAGCATGGCTTAATTCCAGCCTCGGTTCTTCCTGGCCGGTGCTAGACACCATCACCTTGTTAGGAGGCAATTAAAAGCAATGCTTAAGTGTCACGTGGAGTGCCTCTGCTTGTGAGACTGCAAAGTCCCCTTCGGAGAGGGCCACTGTGTCCCATTGCAGCCTTTGTGCTCTTTATTGAACTTTGATTCCTGCTGTAWTCCTGCTTTTTGAATTTGTTTTTGTTACTGTTCCTACACCATATGAAAAGCTTTCTGTAATTTTCATAAATGTGCAAGACTTTTGCACATTTGCCTTTTAAATGTGCTTTTTTCACAAGCTTGGAAAAACGGTAGTTTAGTATGAATATGTAGGTAATACAGAGAAATCCCGATCCAGTTTCTTTCTTGACCAGACCCATGTTTTCTGTCTGAATCAATCTTTGCCTTTGCAAGCCATCTGAATGTGGTTATATGCACGCGAGCACGGCAGCTCATTTGTAATCTGGGATGAGAGGAGGAAGGGGGAGGCTTTTCAACCAGCTCCGTGCTACAAGGATTGTGCTGAGCAGTTCTATTGCGTGAGCYGCCCGTCGTGCGGCTGAGCTGCAGAGGTCCAAGTCGAGCTGAAGCGCAGCCTGGATGCTCCACCTTCACCCTCAGAGCAGGTGTGCCCGGGGAGCACGAGGGTCAGTGTGGCATGCAGCGCAGTCTTGCCTCGTTCCCACTTGTGTTTTTGCCAGGAAAACCGCCCTGTGGGCAGCAGCGTGGTCAGCGCTGGCAGCGTAGAGGCTCTTGACGAAACGACTGCTTAGGAGAGCAGACGCTCTGCCTCCTAATGCGACACAAGTAAATATGCCAGGGACATCACCCGCTGCATGCTTGAATTTTACYGATGCCGTTAGGTACCGTGCTGCTGTCCCTAACCTGCCTCTGTAAGGGCTTCGTGAAGCATCTGCTCCTTCGCTCGGAGGAGCCCAGTGAAAACTGGTGGTGACTTCACTGACACTGCAAGGACTACACAGATGCCGAAGGACCATGAGGAGGCAACGGAGCCCGCTGGACTGACATCTCCTGGGCAGGAATCGCTGCACGCTCAGAAGGCCGACTGGAAGCGTTGGAGAGGCACGGAATGGGAGCACAGCTTGTGGTGGGACCTGGTTCACATTGTGCCCAATGTGCTTTTGTTGCCCTTCCTACACCATAGGCGAAGCATTTTATGATATTTATAAATGGGCAAGACTTAAAATCATTTGAGTGACTCKGTTATCTCTGCTATAGCACAAGATTCATTGGAAATGAAGTGTGAAGGCTCAACAGCAGCCTCGCTCAGTGCGGGAAGGGGGCTCCCTTTTTTGTTCCATAAGGTAAAGCTATCGGAAAAAGAAATTACGGTGGTGCATCGTATTGAGATGAAGACAAGACAGAAAAAGGTGCCTGTGGTGTCAGTGTATTACAAGAAATGCCTGAAATACGGAGTATTTTGTGATAGAAGTATCCATGCTGTGTAGATAAGAGCTAAGATGCAGCCCAAAGAGGAATAGCACCTTTTCCTTCATGGTCTGCTATAGCGGAGCTTTAGTGTTCTTAAAATTAATGCTACCCGAGTGCATGTAGCTGAATCCTGGGAGGAGACGCTCTCTCCCCTGCACATACAGATACTCTGCTTGCCTCTGCCAGCAGCTTCCTTCCTCTCCCACCTGGACTTCTCCAGTTAGTGCTTTTTATTCTGCAAATAGGGGGCCTGATCCTGATTACAAAGGACAGGGACCAGCATTCTTCATGTGCCAGAGTATAAGGAGCTGTTAAAGGAGGAGAAAAAGTTAAAGTGAGTTTTGAACTTATCTCACAAAGAGAGACTTGAGAGCAATGGAGTGTTTAGCTGCACAGGCAGAGGCGTTTGCCATGTTTTTAGCCAGGATGAGCATCCCTGCAGATGGGATAGGAAAAAGCGAATAGAGGGCAAGCTGTGGGTCAGTGGGGGAGACTGTCCCCCAYGGAAACACTGTCTGAAATCTTTTTCCTGTTTTCAGATCTTAGAAACTTTCTTAGTCCTGTTGGTTGTGGGCATTTAGGCATGTAAGCAATGAACCTCGTTTCACTTCTAACTTAAAAGCAAAATAATGAGGGAAGTGGTGCATACATTGAAGTCAGCAAGATCTCAGTGGAGTTGCTTTACGTGCTGGAAATGTTGTGCTGCATCTCTAGCGTTTTCTGATCTTTTTTCCTCCTCTTTTAAAAATTTGGGGCTATGCATCAGTGCATCAGTTAATGAAGTCTGCAGGTCCCTAATGTTGGAGTTCGGACAACACGCATCATTGGAGGGCCTTGCTTGCTTTCTTTTTGCTTTGATGCTGATGCTAAATATCAGAATATCCTTTTCTTTTTTTGATCTGAAGCCAGTTACAGGGTATATTGATGGCAAATCTTGCTTTTGAAATTATTATGCAACTCTCTGCCTTCATACAAGATGTTGGGCATCTGCRGTTCCTGTTGCCTTTAGGAGAAAACGAGTGTCTGGTACCAACCAGACACTCGGACGCATGGGCGATGAGAGTATGSCAGTGCTAATTAGAAAGATAAAAGAAAAAAAMMMCCTACCTTTTAAAAATTAATGAGCCCACAAACACTTTACAGTGCTTTAATGATGCTGGCTGCGTAATGGTACAGTGGGACAGAATTCAGATTGCTGGGAGCAGAGATGAATCAGGCATAGTGCTTTTCATGCTTTCAACAAGTTGGAACTCCCGTATGGATTTAAGCATAACATTAACGTTGCCTGAGCTCSTAAGGCTCCCTTTTAGCATAACTAGGACACGCGTAGCGTTTAGCAGCATGCCTGCAACCCTTATTGATCCTAACGACCTGGTTTTATCCGGGCATAAGTGACGCTAGTTATGAGAACTCATCACTCACCATTTCCAAGTTTCCTCTTTGCAGATGGGAAGACTCTCTGCAGATCTTTACAAAAGTAAAGCCATTAGATTCAATTGAATTGTTTGCATGACCAGCTCTGAGCTGCATCATAGGAGGGTACCTCTTTGCAGCGCATGAGTGCTGTTGCCTCCATSTACAGAGAGTAATCGAATTTTGCTTATGACCCACACAAATTGTGTTATTTCATTATTTTTTTTTAAACCCACTAATTCCAGTAAAATAGCCTCTATGAATGCAGCAGGAATATTTCTTATCCGCTAACCCTAAAAAAAAGAGCATATGTGCCCTGTAAATCCGCTCAAGCTCAGCTTGGCTGTTTATGTTGTAGCCCACTCTAGGATTTTTACACTGGGAAAAAGAAGCTCACGAGCTGCGTGCTCAGAGCTGATAACCTTGCACATCTCAGTAGCATCCCTGTTCTTCAGATGTAGGGACRTCTTTTTAAAAAAGTCACTGTAGAGCAGCTCTCTGTTAGCTGTTAATTAGCAGTTTTCCTGTCTATGCCTCTTACCTGTTAAAAAAAACCACACGGGTGATGTAAGAATTCTCCATCTGCTCCTATCTATATTTGAAACTACAGAAGAGCATCCTTCTTGCAAGGTGCCTGCAGCTCTGATTTCAAAAGCCGAGGCTATTTCCGAGGTTATCCACCCCCGGCAGCGTTGTCACTCTCGCCGCAGTCTTTGTGGGGCAGTTGGAGGTGGCGTTTTGCAGCTATTTTCAGAGCCACGCTTCCTGAGGGCTGGTGCTGTTTTATTCCTGAGATGTGCTGAATCACAGACCTGGAAAAAACCCATTAGGTCATCAGGATCCTTCTCTCAGGAGAGCGGTCCGGGGTTGTTCCTCACCGCTGGTTTTCCGGTCTTACCCAGCGTGTGTTAACTTTAAGATGGACTTTGCAAGACTAGCAGTGCTTCTTGAAAGAAGCTTTTCTGAGTTTCTCCCCAGACTTGTAATGAGTTATATCTGGCGAAGYTGTCAGCAGACCAACCAGGATCACGTCACCGAGTGCTGTGGGTGTAGCTCTTTCTGTACCCCATCCATGAATTCTTTCTCTTAATATTTCCCTTTAACCTCCACATTGTTTTGGTTCTCTATGAGCCACTTCTTTAAAAAGCAGGTGTTAATCTCTATGCATTACCCATGTAATTAGGCACCAAATAGATTGAAGTTGTAATTCTACACCACAGGAATCTCAGGCATTTTAGAGCTTTACTGATTTCATCTTGTTTGAGTGCATGTATAACATCAATTTGACCCAACTACCTTATTTTTTTTGCAATACTTGTGCTGAAGAATATTCTCTTTCAACGTTTACCAACTGTCCATACACAGGAGAAAGTTAATGTATCTTATTTGATAGATACCTTTTCTGCTTRAAAAGAATGAATGAAATTCA